CACAGGAAGCCTTCGGTGCTGGATGTCAGCAGGGAGGAGGGGGCTCTGCTCCCCCTGCGCTGCGGGCAATGGGGGACCCTGGGGTGCCCAGGGGACACCCCTGTGCCAGCCCCTGTCCAGGGAGCCCCAGGGGCGGCCGGTGCCAGCGAGAGGCAATGAAAAATCAGCGGAGTGAGGAGGATGGGGTGCAATGGAGAAAGCCCCTCTTCCCACATTTCCCTCGCTCTAGGGCCGTGCCCGCTCTGCCACAGGGAGCAGAGTGGCACCGACCGGCCGGGCCTGGCACGGGGCTGGCAGTGTCCCCACTGTCCCCAGGAAACACCGCCGAGCCTCTGGCAGGAAGCCCTGGAGCAAAACCCGGTGGGGAGGCTCCTCGGGGCTCTGTGCCCAGCCTGTGGGGCTGCTCCAGCCCGGGGCTTGGGCTGGGGAGCACGGCAGGGACAGTGCTGGGGACACTGCACCGGGACAGGGGGGTGGCACAGAGCTGGGGACACGGGGACAGAGCTGGGGACACGGGGCACTGCTGGGGACACGGGGACAGAGCTGGGCACACGGGGACAGAGCTGGGGACACGGGGCAGTGCTGGGGACACGGGGACAGAGCTGGGGACATGGGGACAGAGCTGGGGACACGAGGCAGTGCTGGGGACACTGCACCGAGACAGGGGGGTGGCACAGAGCTGGGGACACGGGGCAGTGCTGGGGACACGGGGCAGTGCTGGGGACACGGGGACAGAGCTGGGGACACGGGGCAGTGCTGGGGACACGGGGCAGTGCTGTGGCACATGGGGCAGTGCTGTGGCACACGGGGCAGTGCTGGGCACACGGGGCAGTGCTGGGCACACGGGGCAGTGCTGGGCACACGGGGCAGCGCTGTGGGGTTTGCCATGGGATCCAGGGCCATGGCACAGCAGCGAGGGCGTGTCACGGTGCTGTGGCCATGGCACATCCCTGCGGAGGTGGCACGGTGCCCAGGGATGCTGCCCAGCCCCGGGCACGGCCACAGCCCCGCGGGCACAGCCGGGCCGGGCGGGCAGGGGCCCATCCCCACATCCCCACATCCCCACATCCCCACATCCCCACATCCCCACATCCCCACATCCCCACATCCCCAAATCCCCACATCCCCACATCCCCACATCCCCGCATCCCCACATCCCCACATCCCCGCATCCCCGCATCCCCGCATCCCCACATCCCCTCATCCCCACATCCCCACATCCCCACATCCCCGCATCCCCACATCCCCACATGCCCACATCCCCACATCCCCACATCCCCACATCCCCGCATCCCCACATGCCCATCCCGCCGGTGGCGCGGCTGCCGAAGCTTCCCCAGCGCTCCCTCCCCACTCCCACTCCTCCATCCCTCGCTCCCCGCTCCTACATGCAGCTGCCAGCTCACGCGCAGAGCTGGCTCCGCGCGTCATCGCCACCTCCGCTGTCCCCCGGGCGGGCCCACGCAGCCACCCAGCCCCGCCCGGCCCCGCCCGGGCTCGGAGCACCCCTGGGAGCCCCCGGCACCGGGAGCTGCGGGGCTGGCACGTCTCCAGGCAGGAGCTGGGGGTGCGCTCTGCAGCCACTGCGGCTCTGCCTGGTGGGCAACGGGAGCTCAAGGAGTAATTCGGCTCTTCTTTGCAGGCTGTGATTTCTGCAGCTGCAGGAAACCTTTGGAGCTGAGCAACAGAAGAATTCCTAGATGCCCTTCTAATAGTGCCCATCCATCCTAACCCCCCAGACACGCTCCTGGCACCCCTCCCTGGGCTGCATTGCTCGGGGCTGCTATTTGAGCGCCAGGCTTTGGGGGAACACGCTGCCAGAGCCTCCAATCCTGCCAAAGGGAGGGTTAGGAAGGGAAAACGCTGGAGCCGATCCCTTCCCAGGCTGTGGGTGAGGGCTGCCGAGCAGCAGGCGCAGGCAGGAGCTGGCTGTTCTTCTGCAGCACCCTGATTGCTCTCCCTGTGTTCCCAAAGTGCTGGCAGCGGGCACAGCTGGTGGCACCTGGGCCAGCATGTGCCCGCTGTCTGTGCAGCCTCTGGCGCCTCTCCCAAGCGCCCGGAGCTCATCCCAGCTTCCCACCGCGCAGGGCTGAGTGCTGGTGCCTCTCCAGCCCCTCAGCTCAGCAATGGCCATGCTGTGGCTGCCCCTGGCAGCAGGATCCTGCACCCACCTATTCCTGAGCACCATCCCCACCCCTTTCCATCCCAACAGGCACCAGAACCTGGGAAACCCCGGGCAACATCCCAGCAGATCCGTGTGCTGATAAAAACACGGTGCAGACCCATGTCCAGGCCTGATGCAAATTTAATTGAATGGGAATGAGATGTATTTTATGTCCTTAAAGCACATTAAGTGCTTGGAAGTTAATTGGTATTTAATTAGCATAAATCAAGCTCTTTAATAATACTCAAGGAAAAACAACGTGGTGTTACAGATGCTTTATCAAAAGTCACCCTGACAAATGAAAGAGCAATGTGCCCAGCACACCAGCACACGAGGCTGTGCACGGGCTGTCCCCCTGCTGTCCCTGCTGTCCCCTGCACCCAGGCACTCCAGGCAGTGGCGCCGCTGCCCTGGAGGAACCTGCTGAGCCCCTGGCCTGCACCTCCGGGGAGAGGTGCCTTGAAACCGGGCTGCAGCAGGGAGATGGGGAGTGGGATGGATCTGGGGTGCAGGAGGGAGCCGGGCTGCAGGATGGATTTGGGGTGCAGGGGCTCCAGGATGCAGGCAGCACCCGCGGTGCAGGATGGATTTGGGGTGCAGGATGGATTTGAGGGTGCAGGGTGCAGGATTTGGGTGCAGGGCTCCAGGATGCAGCCGCGGCGCTGGATGGATTTAGGGTGCAGGATGGATTTGGGGTGCAGGATGGATTTGAGGGTGCAGGGTGCAGGGTGCAGGATTTGGGGTGCAGGGCTCCGGAATGCAGGCGCGGTGCAGGATGGATTTAGGGTGCAGGATGGATTTGAGGGTGCAGGATGGATTTGAGGCTGCAGGGTGCAGGATTTGGGATGCAGGGCTCCGGAATGCAGCCGCGGTGCAGGACGGATTTGAGGGTGCAGGATGGATTTGGGGTGCAGGATGGATTTGGGGTGCAGGATGGATTTGAGGGTGCAGGGTGCAGGATTTGGGTGCAGGGCTCCAGGATGCAGCCGCGGTGCAGCAGGCTGCCCGGTGCAGAGCAGCCGCAGCCAAGCGCGTTTCCTGCGGCCCGAGCATCCTCTCGAAAGGGGAAGGGGGGAGCCCGTCACGCCCGGGGGCCCCAGCCCCGCTCCCACCGAGCGCTGTGCCCGAGCAGGGGCGGGGACGCGCTGGGGTCCCCCCAGCACCCCACGGGCTCCCCACGGGCTCCCTTCGGGGAGGAAGCAGCGATTCTGCTCCGTGTTTGGTTCGGCATTTTGGTGGCGTTGCCATGACGACCGTCCCGGTGACATCTCCGCGCTATTTGTCTCCTTCTGGGGGCTGCACCATTTTCCTCCCTGAATGAGCAGCTCCGGGTTCCCGCTCACCTGGAGCCTCCCGGGGCTCTCGGCTCCTGCCCAGCCCAGCCAGGGATGCTCCGTTCCCGGCCCTCCCTCCCTGCTGCATCTCCGCAGCGCTGTCCTCTAAAAACACATCTCTGTGCGTGCCTGTGCCCTGCGAGGGTCACCTCCCGGCACGGCAGAGTAGAAAACGAGCTGAAAATAGAGAGGTGACATTGGCAGCGCCCTGCCAGCCCCACGGGGACAGCTGGGAACTGCCCTGGCACAGCGAGAGCCGCCAGCCAGAGCGGGAGGAGGCGTCTGCCCTAGCCAGGGGTGCCCAGCCCCGCTGCTGCCGAGGGGAGCAGCCCGAGCCAAGCCCGGCTCCTGCCCGGCCCCTTCCCTTCCCTGCTCACAGCCCCGTCCCTGCCTGGCGCCCCGGGGCTGGGCAGCGTGGGCAGCCGGGGGCTGGGAAAGCAGCAGGCATCTCCCAGGTTATCATTTCCCAAAATGCAGAGTGGCTTAGCCCAGGGAACACGAGGGGTGTCGGTCTGGGGATGCTCGCGGTGACACCCGTGTGCCAGGGCAGCCCCCGGGCGGGGCATGGTCCCCACAAACCCCTCCAGGGTAGGCTGGAGGCTGCAGGGTCCCCATGGATCCCCCCAGGGCAGGCTGGAGGCCGCAGGATGAGCCAGGGCAGCGCTGCCAGAGGGGACAGGTGCCCAGCTGGCTGAGGCAGAGCTGCTGCTCCTCTCTGGCTCCTCTGCCCCTGCCCACACAGCTCCAGCCTGTCCTCCCCTTCCGCTGCCTCTCCTGCCCCTGGCAGTGCCCCCTCTGCCCAGCAGCCCCCGGCCCACAGCGCTGCCCCCCTGGCACGGCAGGGCACGGCAGGGATGCCCACCCTGGCACAGGCCTGAGGGCCTCACCCCGTGTCCTCCTGGTGCCAGAGGGGCCAGAGACGGGAGTGTCCCCAAAGGCCCCTCGTGTCACCCTCTGGGGCAGGAACTTCTCGGCATCAGTGTGAGAGGGGCGGTGGTGCCCACCCAGCGGGCACAGGGCTCCTGTGGGTGCCCACCCGGGGGGCACAGGGCTCCTGTGGGTGCCCACCCGGGGGGCACAGGACTCCTGTGGGTGCTCATCCAGGGGGCACAGGGCTCCTGTGGATGCCCACCCGGGGGGCACAGGGCTCCTGTGGGTGCCCACCCGGGGGGCACAGGGCTCCTGTGGGTGCCCACCCGGGGGGCACAGGGCTCCTGTGGGTGCCTGGGCACGGCTCTGGGGGTCACACATGGCACAGGGGCAGTGCCTGGGGCAGCACAGAGCCCGGGGCTGTCTGAGGGTGCTCCTGGTGCCATGGCAGGGCTGGCAGAGCCCCATTTCCATCCTCCCTCAGCAGCACAGGAACCGTGGCTGGCCCAGGGGTGCCAGGGAGGTGCCCAGGGGGGCAGGATGAAGGGAAGGAGCAGGGGCAGGAGGTTCCACGCTGGCTGGGCTGGGCTGGGCTGCACCCGCTGCCCACGGACCGGGCCCTGTGCCCGCTGTCACTTCAGGAGCAGGCGGGTGGCCTGGTCACCCAGCAGGAACCTTTGGGGAGGAAAAAGAGACAGAAATCCAGGGTCACATTTCTGCCATGGCAAGGCTACAACAGGAACACGGGGACAGCACCAGCCCGAGGCTGATTCACCACACGAGACACGGGTGAAGCAAAGGCTCGTGTGAACACAGGCTGGGCCTTTGCTCTCCCTGTCCTCATGGGAAGGAAAAGGGAAAGGAGCCCCCAGCCTTGGACACCCCTCTGGAAAAGCATCAGCTGGGAGCCCTGCCCGGTGGAGGGGGCAGCAGCCCAGGGGCAAAGGGAGGCTCAGGGTGGCAGTGCCAGTGCCATGCAGGTGCCACGTACCTCACCAGCCCCCCGACCAGGAGCGCGGCCAGCATGGGCCCTACCCAGTAGACCCAGTGGTAGTTCCAGCAGTTCGCCACCAGAGCTGGCCCGAAGGCTCGGGCTGGGTTCATGCAGGCTCCGGACACGCCGCCCCTGCAAGGGGAACGCGGTGGCTGCGCCATCCCAGCGGGACACGGAGCAGCAGCCTCCCCTCAGTGCTGGGATGGGGCTGTGGGGTGGGCAGCAGAGTCCCCTCAGTGCTGGGATGGGGCTGTGGGGTGGGCAGCAGCGTCCCCTCAGTGCTGGGATGGGACAATGGGGTGGGCAGCAGCATCCCCTCAGTGCTGGGCAATGGGACAATGGGGTGGGCAGCAGAGTCCCCTCAGTGCTGGGATGGGGCAGGGGGTGGGCAGCAGAGTCCCCTCAGTGCTGGGCAATGGGGCAATGGGGTGAGCAGCAGAGTCCCCTCAGTGCTGGGCAATGGGGCTGTGGGGTGAGCAGCACCCTCCCCTCAGTGCTGGGATGGGACAATGGGGTGGGCAGCAGAGTCCCCTCAGTGGTGGCATGGGACAATGGGGTGGGCAGCAGAGTCCCCTCAGTGCTGGGATGGGACAATGGGGTGGGCAGCAGCGTCCCCTCAGTGCTGGGAGGGGACAATGGGATGGGCAGCAGCGTCCCCCTCCCTCCCGGGACCCTTCCCGGGGCTCAGGTGGGCGCTGGGCTGGGGCCGGGGGGCGCAGGCTGTGCCCAGGAAGGCTGCGCGACACTCAGGGCTCACACACGGGAGCGGGGCAGCAGCAATGGCAGCTTTAGGGTAAATATTTGCCGGGGGGTTTGTATAAACGCGGCCCGGGGCGCTGCCGGAGCGGGTGGGCGCTGCCTGAAGCCAGCGCTCCATTAACATCGCTAATTGCGTGTGCTCGTTATCCCGGCACGGTGGCACCGGAGCGGGGCCGAGCCTGGCAGCGCTGCCAGCGGCCGCGGGGACACGAGGGACACAGGGCCCTGTTTGCTCAGGGCTTCCCAGGGCAAACACAGCCCGGCAGGCCCGGGGTTCTGTTATCACCCACGGCAGGGCTCGGGGCTGTGCTGGCTGCGGGGACACGTGCGGGACGAGCTGAGGCTGCTCCTGCTCCAGGCGGAGCCCGGGCTGCTCCTGCCCAGCCAAGCCCGACAGCTCTCCCAGACTGCCAGAGCGCCACTGGGCTCATCCCATGGACTTCCCGGTCAGGGGAGGGTCCCTGCTGAGGCAGGAGTCCTTGCTGTGCTGCAGGAGGGGAGGTCTGTCCCATCCCATTATCCCATCCCATCCCATCACATCCCATCCCATCCCATCCCATCCCAGGTACAGGAGGTCGGGGTGGGATTTGGGGTGCCCCTATGGAGGGTGCTCAGAGCTGCCCCCAGCCCCACCCCACACCCAGGGTCCCTCCTGAGCCCTGCCCGGTGCCAGCAGCCCCTGAGCGCTGGCCCTGGTGGCTCTGTGGGTCCCGAGGGACAGGGGCACAGGGGGACAGGGGCACAGGGGACAGGGGCACAGGGGCACAGGGGCACAGGGGCCAGGGGACAGGGGCACAGGGGACAGGGGACAGGGGGACAGGGGGACAGGGGACAGGGGACAGGGGCACGGGGGACAGGGGCACAGGGGCACAGGGGGACAGGGGACAGGGACACAGGGGGACAGGGCACAGGGGACAGGGGCACAGGGGCACAGGGGCACAGGGGACAGGGGCACAGGGGCACAGGGGCACAGGGGACAGGGCACAGGGGCACAGGGGCACAGGGGGACAAGGGTACAGGGCACAGGGGACGGGGCACAGGGGACAGGCGACAGGGGCACAGGGGTCTCACCCCGCCAGGATGCCGGCGGTGACGGTGAGGCCGGTGCAGAGCGGGGCCAGCGGGGTGCGGGTCCTGCCGTTGATGGCTCCCATGCAGACCACCAGGAGCAGGAAGGAGCTGAGCACGATCTCGGCCCCCAGCACAGCCGGGAGCTGCTCTCGGGCCGTGGGGCCGCCCAGGGCTCCGCCGCTGGCGTTGCTGAAGCGCTCGCTCGGTGCCACCGCCTGCGGGAGAGCCGGCGGTGCCCAGGCTGTGCCCAGGCTGTGCCCAGGCTGTGCCCGGGCTGTGCCCCGTGCCAACAGACGGGCTCGCTGCCTGCCGGGGCGGCGTGGGCGGCTTAAAGAGGAGCTAAACTGCGGGGGAAGAGGCAGCCCCGAGCGCCTGGCACGAACACACCCGACCGAGGAGGCTCCGGGCACCGCGGGGCACCGGGGGCACCGCTCCGGGCAGGGCAGAGCCCCGGCTGCCCGGGGATGTGTGGGGCCACGCCGTGCTGGGAACGGGCAGCACCGAACCCAAACGGACCCCAGGGCACAGGGCTGGGGGAGCAGGCACGGGAAAAGGGCTGGGGGAACAGGCACGGGGAAAGGGCTGGGGCAGCACGGGGAAAGGACTGGGGGAGAGCACGGGGAAAGGGCTGGGGGGGCACGGGGAAAGGGCTGGGGGAGAGCACGGGGAAAGGGCTGGGGGGGAGCACAGGGAAAGGGCTGGGGGGCACGGGGAAAGGGCTGGGGGGGCACGGGGAAAGGGCTGGGTGTGAGCACGGGGAAAGGGCTGAGTGTGAGCACAGGGAAAGGGCTGGGTGTGAGCACAGGGAAAGGACTGGGTGTGAGCATGGGGAAAGGGCTGGGGGGGCACGGCAGGGCTGCAGAGGCACCCCGGGTCCTCCTGTACCCCTTAGAGGGCAGCAGGCTGGGGAGGCCAGGCCAGCTGGGCAGGGCAGGGACAGTCCCCGTGGCCCAGGGACACCCCCCAGTCCCTACCTTTGCCAGGCCAGCTCCGATGACCCCTCCGCAGAGCTGGCACAGCCAGTAGGGGATGAGCAGGGAGACGTGCAGCCCCCCGAGCAGCCACACGGCCAGGGACACGGCGGGGTTGAAGTGGCCGCCGCTGCCGAGGGCAGAGAGAGGGAGAGAGAGGAGCATCAGCGAGGGCTCACCCAGCACGGGGCTCCCTCCCGGGTTCTTGCCACGGCCTGGAGCCACCGGTGCTTTCCCAGTCTGCAGGGGAGCAGGATCCAGCTGTTCCCTCTCTCTGCAAAGCAGCAGCAGCAGGCTGGGCACACAGCCCCTCCTGCAGCGCCACAGGGACAGCTTGAAGGACAGGATTTGGGGATGTGTCACTGTGAGCAGCTCTGCCAGGGCAGCCGTGGGCAGGGGGACCTGGGACAGCTGCAGGAATGCATGGCTGGGGCTGGAACAGCCTGGCAGAGCTGCAGGAATGCAGGGCTGGGGATGGCACCAGCCTGGCACAGCTGCAGGAATGTAGCGCTGGGGCTGGAACAGCCTGGCAGAGCTGCAGGAATGCATGGATGGGGATGGCACCAGCCTGGCACAGATGCAGGAATGCAGGGCTGGGGATGGCACCAGCCTGGCACAGCTGCAGGAATGCAGGGCTGGGCTGGCACCAGCCTGGCACAGCTGCAGGAATGCAGGGATGGGGATGGCACCAGCCTGGCACAGCTGCAGGAATGCAGGGATGGGGCTGGAACAGCCTGGCACAGCTGCAGGAATGCAGGGATGGGGCTGGAACAGCCTGGCAGGACATCCCCCAGCAGAGCAGGGCTGCTGGGCCAGGCCCTCAGTACCAGACCCAAATCCTTCACCTCAAAAAGCACAAGCAAGTCAGACAGAGAGACCCTCTAATTAATAGTGATTACCATGAGACACGGGTTAATGAACAGGTTTCATAACTGATCAGCCTGATAATTGCTGGTGATGACTCAGAGAGTCTGGGAGCCATCAGCACATCTGAGTGCTCAGCTGGGAGGGAGCCCCAGGAGAGCAGGGAGCTGGGCTGTGCCAGGGCTGTGCCAGGGCTGGACAGGGCTCCCCTGCCACCACCAGGGCTGGGAGGGAGCCTGGGCTCAGGGGGGCACAAACCCACCTGGGGAGCAGCCTGGATGGGGAACCCGTCCTGGGCAGGGCTCCTCTCCAGCCTCCCTGGGCTCAATCCTTCCCTGGGAAATCCTTCCCTGGGCTCAATCCTTCCATGGGCTCAATCCCTCCCTGGGCTCAATCCCTCCCTGGGCTCAATCCTTCCATGGGAAATCCTTCCCTGGGCTCAATCCTTCCCTGGGCTCAATCCCTCCCTGGGCTCAATCCCTCCCTGGGCTCAATCCTTCCCTGGGCTCAATCCCTCCCTGGGCTCAATCCTTCCCTGGGCTCAATCCTTTCCCTGTAAGGGTGGGCAGGCCCTGGCACAGGCGCCCTGGATCCCTGGCAGTGCCCCAGGCCAGGCTGGACAGGGCTTGGAGCAGCCTGGGACAGTGGGAGTTGTCCCTGCCATGGCAGGGGTGGAATTTGGTGGATTTAAGGTCCTGTCTACTCCAAACCATTTCGGGATTCAGTGTGAACTGCAGCCCCTCACCTGACGCCCCCAGTGCTGCTGCCCTGTTTCACCATGCCAGGGTTTGTGCAGCAGGACCTGGCACAGGCGCCGTGGGTCAGGAGTTGCCCCTGCACAAACCCCCCAGGGCTGTTCTCCCTCCTGCCTGCCCCTCCTGCACTGCTGAATTATCCCCCCATGGCTCTGGGCTCCAGGCCCAGCCACCCAGGACAGCCTGAGTCCCATCCCTGGGCTGTGTGCAGCTGACACAGGGAAGGGAATGAAACCCCCAGGGCTCTTCCAGCATCTTCCTTGGGGATAAATCCATATCTCAGCTCCACACAACAGCTTTTCAATGAGCAGATTTGTCTAAATGCTGCTTTTGAGTAATTGAAATCCTTTTTTTTTTCACCTGAAAATACCCAGAGGAGGAGCACAGTTGGGTCAAAATGTTTTGCTCTGACATCCTTGTGAAAGGAATCATCTCAGCTTCACAGAGAATCACAAAATCATAGAATGCTTTGGGCTGCAAGGGCCCTTAAATATCTCCCAGCTCCAGCTCCCAGAGGAGAATGCTCCCATTCCAGCTTGACCATTTTTATGGAAAGGGGCTAAAAATGGAAACACTGCAATCCAAAGCCAGCCCCAAACCCATGGTGCTATGGGTGCCACCAAAGATGCCACCACCTCTGCTACGACCTCCAAAGGGCCATGCTGCCCTCCAGGAGTTCTGAGGGCAGCGGGAGGGAGCTGGGGGCACCCCCTGCCCTGTGTCCCTTACCCAATGTCCCCAGCCCGTGTGCCAGGGGCACCCCCTGCCCTGTGTCCCTTACCCAATGTCCCCAGCCCGTGTGCCAGGGGCACCCCCTGCCCTGTGTCCCTTACCCGATGTCCCCAGCCCGTGTGCCAGGGGCACCCCTGCCCTGTGTCCCTTACCTGATGTCCCCCAGCACAGCCACAGTGGCAGCCAGGGCCAGCCCGTGTGCCAGGGCGGGCTGCAGCCGGCCCGTGCCCCCTGGCTGGTCCAGCAGTGCCAGGCACCCCGTGAAGATGAAGAGGGCAGTGCCCAGCAGCTCGGCCAGGCAGGGCTGCACGTGGCGCTCGTAGCGGGGCGGCCGTGGGGCAGAGGGCTTGGCCTCGGTGTCCATCAGCTCCTGCAGCGGGCACTCGGCCCAGGAGGGCCCTCCACAGCTGGGGCACAGCTGGGGCACAGCTGGGGCACAGCTGGGCAGGCTGCAGCAGAGCCTGGGTGTGCAGGACCCTCAGCAGGGACCCACCCCAGGGCTCCCCCTGAGTCTGACAGGCAGCGCTGCACGGGAGGCTCTAAATACAGATTGGATTTGCATTGCTAAGGAAAAAAAAAGGGGTCATAAAAGCTGCTGGGCCGGCCCCCAGGGATATCAAAGCTCGTTATCACTGCCAAGCCGTGGTTCAAGGCTTGGGGATTTTTCCCTGGTTGCTGGTGGTGGGGTGCTGTGCTGTGCTGTGCTGTGAGGGGTTCTGCCAAGGGTCAGGATGTGGTTCCTGCCCTGCACACCTGGAGTGTGGCACCTGTGCTCAGCCCTGGGCCTCTGTGCCTGTAGGAGCTGCTGGGACCCAGCCTGGGACTCTCAGCCCACAGCCCCAGACTGGCTCAGGTGGGGAGGGAGCCCTGGGAAACTGGAGCTCAAGAGCTTTGAGCATCCTGTGCCACCCCCTCCATGGCAGGGACACCTCCCACTGTCCCCAGCCATGGGGCACTGCCAGGGATGCAGGGCAGCCCCAGCTGCTCTGGGCACCTGTGCCCACCCTGTGAGTGGAGACCATCAGTGAAAACTCCTGCAAACCTCAGCCCTCATCCTGCCCAGGGTTCCAGGGCTGGGGTTCCTGTCCCTCTGGCACTGCTCTCAATAAAGATGAGGGCAGGGGTGCCGAGGGATCCAGCAGCCACTGCAAAAGCTGGAATCAATCAAACACTGATGAAACCCTCCCTAAATCCTCCTCATGCCAGCAGGGATCACTGCCTGGAAGGGCAGATTCAGCCAGGGCAGGGGGAACAGGGGGAGCCCCCAGGCAGCAGCACAGCAGAGCCCACAGCTCCCAGCAGGACCAGCAAGGGTTCACTGGGAGGCTTTGAGCTGGGCTGAAGGGATCCAGGTGGGGCTGATCTTTGGGGCATTGGCTGGGAGGGATCAGTGCTACCCCTACCCAGAGATGGGCACTGCCAGGGTGATGCCAGGGCAGCTCCTGGAGCAGCAGGAATGTGCCAGGATCCAGGCAGGAAGGGCCCTGAGCCTGGAGCCAGCTCCTGCAGCCCATGTTTGTGGTGCTGTGGGGACTGGGCTTTGCTGGAGCTCTTCTCTCCTGTCAGCAGGGTAAAGAACCTGGTTTATGGTGTTGTCACAAGGCCCTGGGGATGGGAAGGAAATTTCCACTGGCCTGTCCCTGTGGCCACACCGCTGACAGGGGTCAGGCAGGAGAATCCCAGTGAGGGCACCTCTAAATGAGCCTCCACTGACCCATTCACCCCCAGGAGCTTCTTCCTACAGCCAAGAGCTCTGGGCTCAGCTTATAGACACAGCTGGGATTGGGGGGTGACAGCTGGGTCTGCCTGGCCTTGGGGCCCCCATGGACCCCAGGACCTGTGGGACAGGGAAATCCCTGGTTCAATCCCATCAGCTCACAGGGCACCATGTCCCAGGGCCACTCCCAACAGGTCCATGGAACCCATCTGCCACTGTGGCCCCCAGCATGACCAGCCCAGGGCTCCTTTGGGAAGAAATTGAACTTGGGCAGAAGGAATCCGGGTTTCCTTTATTTTTGGGATGCTTATTATGACAGATCAATGTAACACATATCCAGATTTCAGCTGGTCCTTCCTTGCAGCAGCTTCCACGGGGCTGTGCAGGCACTGCCAGGAGCTGGGCTGTCCCAGAGCCCAGAGCCCAGAGCCCAGAGCCCAGAGCCCAGAGCCCAGACCCCAGATCCCAGACCCCAAATCCCAAACCCCAGACCCCAAACCCCAGACCCCAAATCCCAGGCCCCAGATCCCCAGATCCCAGATCTCAGATCCCAGATCCCAGATCCCAGACCCCAAACCCCAGACCCCAGATCCCAAACCCCAGACCCCAGGTCCCAAATCCCAAATCCCAAACCCCAGACCCCAGAGCCCAAACCCCAAACCCCAGACCCCAGAGCCCAAACCCCAGATCCCAGACCCCAGATCCCAAATCCCAACCCCCAGATCCCAAATGCCAAATCCCAAGCCCCAGATCCCCAGATCCCAACCCCAGAGCAGCATGGGTGAGCCCCAGGAGCCCCAGGAGCCCTCCCTGGCCAGGAAAGGCAGCGAGGGGGCAGATCCAGGCCGCTGCTGGGTGCTCCTGGCACAGGAGCTGCCCAGGGCAGTGCCACCGTGCCCATGCTCTGTCTCCAGAGCACGGCAAGGTCACAGCCCACAGCAAGGATTAACCCCCTGTCCTTGGCTTTTAAACATTTACCACCTTAGGGAGCGGGGATGTTTGCCCGAGCCTTGCAGAGGAAATGCTCCACGCTGAGGCAACAAAGGCTCCAATTCCTGCTGAGCACAGCCTGAGACAGCTGTGAGCAAAAGCTCAGCCCTGTGGGAAGGGGCTCCCTTTGGTGGGAGCCTCAGCCCCTGCCTGGTGCTCAGAGGTGCCCGGGACGCCAAGGGCAGGGCCCTGCTGTGAGCAGGAGATGGAACCCTCAGCACCCAGGTTTGCTCAGCGAGGCACACGGCAACTCTGCCCGTGGGAAAAGGCGTGGGGATGAGAACAGATAAATCTGTTCCTATCAGCAGACATTTATTTTTGTCCTTGTTTGGGCTTGCACCGATTTGTTAGATAAGTGACAATAGCAACTGTGTCAATTAGTACAGGAAGTGGTGGCACCAAACAAGCCAAGGCTTCCAGAAATGGTTTTTAGGAATCACAGGGAACGTTTCCCTCAGCCATCCACCCGGGCAGGACAGCCAGAACAGCCCAGTTTTCTCCACCCCCAGTGTTTCACTCCTCTCCTCATTTCACTGTGCAGATCTGCCACCTTCCCTTTGCTTCCCCATGCAAACCAAAGCACCCGAATGAGGCTCTCTAGAGAAAACCACATTGAGGGTTGGATGATCCCTTCCAACCCAAACCATTCTGGGGTTCTAAACCCAAAGCACCCAGCCTGCAAAAAGCACTTAGGCAGACACTAAAGGGCATCACTGAGTGCTGTCAACACCCAGTCCCAGGATCCCAGGCCCGTTTGGGTTGGACACTGGAACCCACCTGCACCAGGCCCCCCCACCCTCCCAGGGGAGAATCTCATCCTAAAATGGAATCTAAACCTCCTCTCTGCCAGCTTGAATTCATTCCCCTTTTTCCTGTCACTCCGTGCTCTTGAAATGCTTTGAGTGCTCTCTGTGAATTGGTGCTGGTACATCTGAAATCCCAGAATTCCAGCTGAAATCTGTAGAAAATTTATTCCAAAGTATTCTGGCCGTGCACAGCGTGGTGCTGCAAGGAAAGACCGCAGCAAATCCAGCACGGGGTCAGCTCTTTCGGAGAGCCATAAAGAATCAGAGCAGCTCCCCTGGCACTGCCTTATCTCCCCCGTTTATCTCGGACAGTCCCCGGGATTACACAAGGGGCTGAAAGAGAACTTGCAGAGTGATTTGCAGCTCGTAGCTGTGGCACAGGTGAGGTGACCTCTGCCCCTTGCAGAGCCCTCTTGTGTAAGAGTTTTCCTCGCAGTCGCCGTCTCGGAGCAGATGGAAATTTCCAGGGATCCCGAGGCGGGCTGAGCGCTGCCTGCTGCAGAGCAGGGATGGATTCGTGTCAGTCCTGCGGCCCAGACTGGTGCTTGAGCTGCCAAAATCACCACCCGAGGAGGATGAAGCCATCCAGACCTTAATTCTGCTATTTCACATTCCTAATTCTGCTGCTTAGCATTAAAATCCACCAAGGTCCCCCAGAAGGGGTGGATGCTCCTGGTCCCCCCAGCCCTGCACATCTTCCCTGCAATGACCTGGGCTCCCTGGCTGTCCTGGTTATTTCCATCCTCAATAACCTCATTCTCCTGTGCCCAGCAGCCCAGGCACCTGAAAACCTGTGTAAACTCAAATGGGGAGCTGGTCACTCAGCAGAGGGGCTGAAACACCATGCACTGAGCCAGCCACTGCTTTTCCTTCGGCTCCTGAAGCTGGGCAAGGCCTGGCAGTTCAATAATTTAACCTCCTGGAAGGCAACTTCATTTATGCATCTGTGGAGAGCCAGCAGGCAATGCTCAGGGATGGGTAACGTGGATGGACACAGCTGCAGGGCAGGGACACCACCCAAAGCAGGGATCCACAGCCTGGAGTGAGTGAGAACAGCCTGGAGTGAGTGTGAGCAGCCTGGAGTGAGTGAGGGCAGGCAGGAGTGAGTGTGGGGAGCCTGGAGTGAGTGAGGACAGCCAGGAGTGAGTGTGGGCAGCCTGGAGTGAGTGTGAGCAGCCTGGAGTGAGTGTGGGCAGGCAGGAGTGAGTGTGAGTGTGAGTGTGAGTGTGAGTGTGAGTGTGAGTGAGGGCAGGCAGGAGCAGCTCCTGGCTCCTGCTGGAGCAGTCAGCAGCAGGGAGCACTGCCTGACTTTGCCAGGCACACAGGACCAACCTCCTCTTGAGCAAAGCTCCCCATCCCATTCATTCCCCACTCTGGGAGCCCATCCTGAGCACGGCTCCTCTCCAGCCTCTCTGGACACAATCCTTCCCTGGCAGGGTGGGCAGGCCTGGCACAGGTGCCCAGAGCAGCTGGGGCTGCCCCTGCATCCCTGGCAGTGCCCCAGGCCAGGCTGGGCAGGGCTGGGAGCACCTGGGACAGGGGAAGGTGTCCCTGCCATGGCAGGGGTGGCACTGGGTGGGCTTTAAAGGCTCCTTCCAGTCTGAAGCATCCTGTGACTCCCAGAGATGAATTTTGTGGCCCCATCAGTAGCAATCCCCAGGAAAAGGCCAGGCTGGAGCAGGAGGCAGAGATCCAGGGATGTGCAGGGGTCACACAGCCCGAGGCAGCAGCAGCAGCAGGCAGAGAACTGGAACCTCTCCTGCCTGGAAAAGCCTCCTGAGCCAGCAGCCCCCCAGCAGCCCCCTGCACACCCCAACAGCCCCCAGAGAGAGCCCAAGGGTTCCTGGATGT